CCCAGCCTGATGCTGGACCCAGGCTTCCCGTCCACCGGCACCAGGCTGGGCGATAACCAGCTGGGCCAGACCTGGGACAAAGATGGCATTTGGGCATTAGGAGTAGATCTGCCCGAAACAGAAACAAGAGGTTTGAGGGTCTCAGGGGGAAATGTCATGACTATCATTGGCAGATAATACGATCTTCTTCCCAGAAGAGCCAAAAGCCTCAATGAAAAGTTGCTAAGATTAAGTTTCCCAAGGTGTCTAGATGGAAGACAAATGTTTTACACACAAATCAGGAGAGAAAGAAGGAGAAACTCATCTTTAACCCCAGGCATAGCTAATGCGATGCCATATGGTAGAGACTCCATTCATGGCCAGGTCCATACATTCCTAACCTAGAGTCTGTGACAACCACAAAACTTCCTTGAGGAGGAAACTCACACGAAATAAAATGTCATTCAATGTTGTTAACAGGAGACGGTGTCATCCAATATCAACACTTCCAAAATCCCCATAGAATGTGAACTGCAGGAAAGTTTGGGAACATTCAAAGTGACCCCCAAGTTTTTGAGGGGGGAAATACAGGTGGGGGTGTCCCAGGAAGCCACAGGGCAGAGTGAGGCAAACTAGGCAGCTGGTACCATAAAGCTGTGGGAACGGGAACCGAGTGGCTGTCCAGTGACGCAGGGCGAGGGAAAGGCCCAGCCAACCTGCCCATCCTCCTAGACCAGCCTCAGTGACAGCACAGCAGCAGAAAAATGCAGGATATCAACTCACAGCAAAGAAGGAGGAGACAGCATCGGTGAGGGGCCGCTGGGAATCAGATGGAGGGGATGAAGAAGAGGGGCTTGGGGAGAAGTGCAACCCTCTGTTCTGGTGCTTGGGTGAAGCCACCTCACTGTGCAGGACACATGCAGATGGGGCCACCTTGAACGTGAGGGACCCAGGCAACTCAGATCTTGGCAGGGGCTGAAGAGGGTCACCCAGCTCAGAGGAAGGTGGTGAGAGCCAGGAGGCTGGAAACACGGTCAGGACCCAGGCCGTCCTCTCCCTCCTGCAGTCGGGTCACCCCAGGAGGAGGGTGAAGGATCCATCTCTAGAGAACCTTTGGTCCCAGCCAAACAGAGGACTGGCATCTGGGAGGCCCAGGTCTCCGCCCAGTCATCTTAGAACAGAATCAACTAGTCCACCAGCCAACCAGGCTGACAGATGCGAGTCAGCATTTGAACTGTTAATAAACACAGTAGTTTCTGTTCCTTAGAAAGTATTCCGGCACCCAACTGGTGTGGCTCAGCAGGTAAGTGTCAGCCCAGGAACCAAGAGGTCCCTGGTTTGATTCCCAATCAGGGCACATGCCCAGGTTGCTCACCCAATCCCCAGTAGGGGGTGTGCAGGAGGCAGCTGATCAATGATGTCCCTCTCTCTCTCTCATTGATGTTTCTATCTCTCTATCCATCTCCCTTCCTCTTTCTAAGTATACTTGCTTATGATGGCAATTTTTGACATAAACCAGCCCAAAATTTAGTGATTTGCTCTTACATATGAAGAAAACTGTTGGGGCTGACCAGGAAAGCATTGAATTGGAAATTTAAAAACCAAAATACAAAAAAATGAAAAAAAAGTTATTCAAACCTAAACAACTAGCAATAATGAGAAATAGAAGAAGTTTGAGCAAGTTTTCAGAGATGTAGGAGAAGACACTGCATTTATGAAACAAGGATTACATACTGTTATCTTCTCATATCAGATAATAACCAAGCAGATAATAACCAAGTGCCCTTAGACATTCAAAATATAACAAATTAGTCTGGGCAAGTGGTTCAATAGTTAGAACAGTGGCCTACCCGCCAAAGGGTGACTGGTTCAATTCCCGGTGTGGGTTCCATGTGTGGGAGGCAACCAATCAATGTGTCTTTCTCCCACTTCTCTCTCTCTTTCTCTCTCTCTCTCTCTCTCCCTCTCTCTCTCTCTCTCTCTCTCTCTCTCTTTCTCTGTCTCTGTTCCTTTCTCTCTTCCCCCACCTTTCTTCCCTCTCCTTCCTTTCCACTATCTCCAGAAATCAATGGAAAATATATCCTTGGGTGAAGATTAACAAAAAAAATTGTAATAGAACAAAAAAAAACCCAAAAATGGGCCTCCCTGTTCTTTTAACACCCTGAAAAGAAATAAAAAGAAGTGTGCTCAGCTGGCCCACCACTGGATGGTCCATGGGCCATGCCGCTCCGCCTGCTTCCCCTGCCACCAGAGGCGCATGGACAGCTGCGCAGACAAGTAAGATCCAGGTCTCAGCGGGAGCAGCTCTCACAGGTGCACCTCAGACCCGCTGCCCAGAGCCTGAGCCTGGGAGGAGCTGCATTTGGAATAGCTCC